TAACAAACAACATAATAAAGCTAACTATGGCATGGTTTCAAAGAGGCATCTATTACTCAAGTGTGGAGACTTTAGACAATTTCCAAATCACAATTCTCAGGGTGCTGGTTATTTATATATAAAGTTCTTAAAGTTGAAAACTAGCCCCCACCCACCAGTTTTTAAATGCTAGCTTGTTTTCTGGTAGGGTTGGTGCATTTTCCAAATTCAACCAGTTTCTTTTATAGGTTAGAGAACAAGACATATGAAGTAAACACATACAATAAATTAAGGACCTGGAGGCTTCTTTCCTGGAGAGTTGAAGGTGGCATGATAGAGCCATCGCTGCCCATATGGTGCACAGACTTATTTTTTCCCCTGTCTTGTTCTCTTTGGGAAAATAGGTTTTTGAAGCACTACAAAAACCTGAAAATTGGACAAAGAAATTACTGTGAACATCATGGACAATGGCAGCTTCATCATACCATGTTCATTCACCATAGGCACAGACCAGACATAACTCTCTTGGTCTAAAAAAATTATAGCTTATTTGATCAGAAACATGCTCTACACCACCACTCGTTCCTTGCACTTCATAATGGGTGAACCAGGATCAGATTCCCCATTTATACTGTAGTTTGCACTCAAGAGGTTAAACCATACTTGTCTGATTTAATGAGAAACTATGGCTTTAAAAAAACCTATTGTCTTCACAGCCATTGTTCATTAGATTGAGACAGTTATGTCTGAACCATGCCTACAAAATCTGATATGATACAGCCATATTTGCCCCTGGTGTACGAAGCAATTTCTTCTGCCCAATTAATATGAAGCAGGGGATGGGGCAGAAGCTATTTTGAGTGAATGGGTAGAAGAGATGAAAGCTGAACCCACACTCTCCCTGACAATTTCTGCCACCCAGACAACTTGCTGCTTCAGTTCAGATGTTTTTCCTCATGGTAGGGCCCTGAGAGTAACACCCACTGGAAGAAATGCATCACAGGAGAAATGTTTTTTGACTGAAGGGCAAAAGCACGGGTTGCTCCCAAAAGCGCTTCATTCCTCACCCCACTATGGTCTGATTTGCATGTCACATTGAATCATGGTTAAAAGTAAACTATGGTTTAACGTGAATGAGCAAAGTGCTGGTGCACACTGCTTGAAAATCCCCGCTTAGCTTCTCCCCTGTCTCTGTTGTTGTCATGGTGGGTGGGAAGGAAACTAGCTTAGCATTGCAGGCACATCAGTGCCTGTTGTATTGTTACTAGCTTACTGCATGCGGTTGTTTAGGAGAAACAAGCCACAAGTGCTGCCTTGCCACCAGGGCTCATTTCTCTTGGCTAGAAGCAGAAGTGATGGTTGCTCATTCACAGTAAGCCATAAATCAGGGGTGGGATTTTTTATTTTATTTTTCAAATCAAGGCCCACATTTCCTTCTACGCACATGTCAGTGGTGGATGGGACCACAGGAAAAGGTGGCAGAGCAACAAATGAAATTTCTAGCTTTGTACAGTAGGCTAGTTTCCTCCTCTCTGTCCTTCACACAGGCAAGAGGAAGGCACTGCCAGAGTTCAAGGCTGCATTCAAGCCAAGCAAAAACATTAAGGGTGAGAAGCAGGGTCAGTAAAGGTTATGGCCTAGGGAGATTTTCAAGGGACTTGGAAGGCCACATTTGGCCACTAAGCATGAGGTTCCCCACCTCTGTCACAAATTATGGCTTACTGTAATGCGCAGACCAGGCCATTAGCTGCATGGTAGACAGGAGTCTATTCTATGAGAGTTGCAAACCTCTAATGTCTGAACGCTGACAGCTTAATTTCAAATACTGCTGCGATGGTGTTTAACCAATACCAGTAGTATAATGTAACTTGCTTTTGGCATTTTGCTAGGGTTGCAGTTGACACGTAGCAAGTGCTAAATTCAGGCTACAAGATTTAAGCCTTCTGTTTCTTATTAAAAAAAAAAATGAGATGAAAAGGTTAAAACAATGTATTTGGTTAAATAACTACTAAGCATGATACTGTAAATCAGAACTAAATCAGTTTTATCCTTAATGCCAGATAGTCAGCCAAGTTGTTAAATTCTAGTTTTAAACAGCCACAACCAGCCCAAGATGTCTGAGGCAGACTAGCAAATGGCACTATTACCTCATCTTCCTCACTGTGGCTCCCCTACCCCCAATTTTTCCACTGCAACAGTGGCAGCACAGGTGCTCTGACAAGCTTATTGGGTGGTCATCTACTCCTAATGAACCTCTAGGAAGCAAAGCAGCCAAGGACACCTCTAGGACTGCCACCGGGTGCTTCACTGCAGCAGCAAATATACTATTTAAAGTTTATGAGTAAGTTAAAACTTCTATTACGTTTGCCACTGCAACCAAATGGCAGGTGCTAGCAGGCACACCCAAGCCCAACCTTGGTCTTTTCTGGATGGAGCTGGTGCACAATGGCAGAGATGCAGACATATCTCTATGGACAGCCCTGGAGATGTCCTAGCAGCAGGGGTGGCTGGGCACGATCCACTACCCTTCCCAAGCCACTGACTGAGCCAAGAGGCTCACCTTGGCTTATGGAAGCAATAGCCCTGTAAACACTGTAAACTGGATAGAGAAACAGAAGGAGAAACAGCTCTACTATTTGTCTCAGTCAGATTGAGAGGTTAAATAATATTTTTTTAAAAAAAATTAGCAGCTGACAGAAAATACTTTTTCATAAGCAAAAATACTGAATTGAGGTCAAGTATCTCGGCACAGCAGGGGAAGTTGATTAGACACTTCCATACCTGAAACACGTCTGTTTTGTTCTTTAATAAAGTGATCTCCATCTGCTCATGCCCTTGGAAATCTTTCAGCACTTCAGCCTGCTGTGCTCAAACCCCACATAAGTCTGTATTTTCCTGCTCATAATTAGCTAATTATGTTCTAATCAATACTGTAGATCCTGATTTTACCATGTAAATCAGATAAATGAGATAATGGCTGGGGGTCAATCTCATTCTATTTACAAAGCCTAGCATGCACGTCCAATTTCATTACATTGCGCCTACCTGCAGAGGAGGGAATCTTATCAGCTGGCCTGCAGAAGTCTTACAATGAACATGGGGGTGGGGAGGAGGACCTGGGCTTGTCTAAATGAAGAGCTAAAGAAATTTTTTTTTTTTTTTTGCATATTTGTAAGTCACTGTAGAGATTCAAAGCTCTGAAGAATAATATATTAAAAAAAGAATCTTGCATTCATAAGACAGCTACAACCATCTTTGTCTCTCAAAGTAATTTCCTAAGAACTCTTTATTAATAAACTTAATCTGTAAAGAAAACTTGACAAATGTTGCTTTGCAGAAGGTTAAATAAAAACCTCTCTCACTTATACATGTGCCCTGGAACAATGCCCACAGAATTATTCACATAGCATACAATATAAAAACAGCAAACAAGTAAATTTTGTATACATGTTCGTAATGCTAGGTATCGTGACTTTATAAAAAGATATACAAAATTTCCACAACATGAAGCAGTAAAGGATTGTTCTTAATGGGCATCTGAATACCTAATTGGAATGCCTTTAAACAGTTGAACCAGTTTAGGATTTTACACCACCATAAAAATTATGGACCAGCTCTTTTTAAAATGCAGCAACAAGAAGCAGATGCTTTCAGGCACAGATCCCAAGAGTACTGTTCCATGCCACCAGTATCCATCTCTACATATTAGTTAAAAATATGCTTTAGAGCAATGACAGCAGTTGGACAGGTGTGCGTATCATTTTTCTTTTTGGTTCAAGCCTATGTTAGTATTAAGATAGCTCAGATATAAAGCAAGATGAATGCTAAGCATCTCTTTAGTAAAACTGCCCCTCTATTGCTACTCTAATACAGAATATGAATTCAGCTGTTAAATTTTCAAGCATTCGTTCTATGTTGAACATTTCTAGAACCACTTCTTCACTTCTGCTTCCTGCAGCCAATCGGAAGCCACACCTTAGTTTCCAAATGTTTTGGAAGTCAAACAGACTTCCAGAATGGATTCCTTTTGACTTCCGAGGTACGACCGTATTTTGAAAGAGGGCTCTGAAGCTCGACTAAGAAACAAAGTCTAAAAATTCAAGGCAAGCAGCAGCATGTATATATAAGGTCAATCTGTAAGCACCTTAATTATGATTTCCCAAATTCACCCAAATAAATAGTTCAACATGCACAGTGAACAAAGAACGCTTTACGCGCATACACACAGCTGCTCTTACACCCAAGGTAAAATCTATGTATTTATGTTAAGAAAAACCAACTGCTTCCTATGAATCTGCCCAAAGCAATATAAAATAAAATACACAAACACAATTCAGGCAGAGGTAAATTCCGCATGCATAGTGAAAATTATACTTCGTATTGGATGGCTGGATTGAGGCATGGGAATCAATATACCCTCCCCCCCCCAGAAGTTAATGTATTTGTTTTTATATCAGTTATTAGTGATCACTAAGCAGATATTTACTAACAACCTTCTCATATTAAATAGGAATATATATTATTTAAGCTCTACTCAGGCTAAGACAAAAAATGTATAAATTTTCTGGCCCAGAATCAATGTTTTCTAACCACTAATTCAAGGGCTGCTGAGCTAGTGTAAGGGCAAGAATACTGCTTCCTTAATATGAAATCCAGTGCAACACTAGTGGAAGCCTGTTTTGCAACAGGAAATATCAGGGCTATAGCAGTCTGCTGTACAACCAGCCACAAGAACCATACCAGCATCTTGCACCTTCTCTTGTGCCAGCCGTTCTGGAGAAAAAACATTCTGGAGAAAAAACATTCTGCATTAAAACATTTTATATTTACATGCTTATAAGCATGTAAATATAAAATGTTTTAATGCAGAATGAGTTTTATATTCACATGCCAACATTTATACCAAATCTTAGCCAAAACATTGATGCATCTAGCCTCTTTTCAGCCGATTCTAATGTGCATATTTAAATCTAGAACACAATGTTATTACAGTCTTGACAAAATGCTTATTTCAAACAGTATAACCAAGGAGATCTAGTTATTTTATTGAACATATCCAAATATGATACAGTGTCTAGCCATAACCATGAAAATACACTAATGTATCATTTCCTGTTATTTTATACAGCTATTATTATTCTAATTTCCAGGTTTATAACTCTGGTTATAAAATATACCTTGCAAAATGCTCCAAGATACCGCCGTATTTTCATATACCCAATGATTTTCAATACAATGGCTGTGATCCAACAAAGTGATTAGTGTGCATAAGGAAGACACCCACCTAGTGGGAGGGTTCTTTGACATTTCCTGTACTGCAGAAGAGCCAAGCCAAATTTCACTTTAAAATGCAGCTTGCTTTTTCAACAATGACGACTGGAATACTTTGAGCAATGAATATTTCAAAGGAACCTTGTAGTTCTACCAGCCCCATGAGTATCTTTGTTGGATCGCAACTTATATACTTCAATGTTACAGGTACAAATGCACAAACAGCTTTGTTCAAAGAAGGGCAAAAATAAGCATTTCAAATGCTTATGCTGTCTAGTAAATTATCTGAAAAAATTACAAGTCTTAAACAGAAACACAGACTGCTACTGGGTATGTCTTGATCAGTAACACTGGTTGACCAGCTTTTTGTTCTTTCCCAAATTACCATGCTGTAAGCCCACAACTTATGCACATTTAACTTGTTCATATCCAGCTATACCTGCTTGTCATAATAATAATAATAATAATAATAATAATAATAATAATAATAGGGTGGGAAGGGACTGTCTGTACAGTAGAAAAAGGGTTTGGCAAACCCACCCACTGCTGAACACAATGTGTATTGCATACATACAATTTTGGCTTTAGGTACAACACCCAGAACGTAACTTCTACATATGTTGCAGGCTTACTGTATAGGAATTGTTGCTGGCTTTCAAAGGAAGCACCCCCAGTCCAGAACACACAAACCCACCGAGACAAAGCCACAAGATTTGGGTTCCCCTCTTCTCAAGCCAAATGTGTTCACTCAGTGACTCTTTCAACTTAACATACTAATAGGCACAAAGTCAATTATTATATAGCAAAACTTACTTCATCATGAGAAATGTATGAAATGTTTTTTTACAGATGTCTGATTGCCACTATACTGAACACTTTTACAGAAACAAGCCTTTTACATATAGCTCTTCAACACATTTATATAAGAATTTGCTTATTAAGAGGCACAAAAAGTAGAGCAGCCAACAAATGACAAAGCATTGCTTTTCCTATTCAACAACATCACATAAAGTATTTAAGTCCCATAGGCTCCTGTCACTCTTCAGTGGCTCTAAATACTGTACATCATCATTTGCCAAGGACTAGCAATGGGAGACAAAATTACTTAATAGAACATTTCAGACAAGACATTTATCCAGTATTTTCCAGAAATGCACATACCAATGTGCCTGATTAGTGCAAAGGAAAAAAAAATTCAAGTAAATTAACTGCCTTGTCAGTTCAAGTAACATACCAATCGGTTACATTCTACAAGACCTGGCAAGCAAACTCAAGTATTTGTCATAACTAGGAATATGGAAGGGATAAATACACTGTTTTCCTTTAGTTTGTGTTCTATTGAAAGTCTTATCCACAGCTTAAAATCACATTTATAAAAGTAGTTTCCAGGACTGCCTCCGGGGATGAGTTGTGGCAGAGTAGTGTCTCATGAAGAGTATCTACACAGTAAAGTGATAAGAAAAAAAAGATTAACATTTACCATTTTTAACAGTTCTAGTGACTTATGAAACATTTCAACATCACAGCAGATTGAGACTGAAAAGAGACAATTTAGGATTAGTGTTACATTTCCAAGTGCATATGGAAGTGAATTAGCCATTAAGTATCATCCATTTCTCCTCATTCACAGTGCTTTAAAAAAAGAAACTGCCATTTAGGTGTGGAAAATGGAGAGTGGTGACCTTTCGGCTATAGAAAAGATTTTAATTAAAACAGACATGATTATACAAAGAGAGCAAGCTTCTCCTTGTCAGAACTCTTAACTATATAGCACGATAATATACCAGATTAACTATACTTCTTGTGCCCAATCAGGAAAGGCAGGAGTTGATTGACAATTACAAAGCAGCACACAGCGTTCTCATGAAGCAATTGTTTTATAATGTCAATAGGGCATCTATAGTTACTGAGCTGGATCCAGAAACAAATGAATGGAACTCCACTTGCACAGTGGGGCTTTTTGGACTCATTCCCTCCCTATGACAGCCTCCACACTGATGGAAAGCTTTTGAGGGTCAAGGGACAGTGATGAGGCACAGGGGTTGCAGCAGAGAAATTGCATTTCCACTTGCACAAGTCATCTGCGGATCCAGACCTCTGAATTACAGATTCCTGCATTTTCAATATTTATTAGGAAATATAGCAAGTCGGGTTTACTGTGATTTTTACGGCATTTATATGGCAGACACTGTACATGCCAATCACATTATTTCCCTTAATTCCGTCATGTTTCATATTTAAAACTTTTAACACTGCAGGAAAACTTTGGGAAAACTTACTCTGGTTAGTTTTTTTTGGGGGGGGGGACCTTGAACTACGTGCTCACGCTGATAGTTGCATCTGGTGCGTTAACGTGGAAATTTCTAACAAAGGGAAACTGAAAGGCACTTGCATATTTTACTTTTGACCTAGCAAGACTCAGACAAGAATATGAGAGTCTGACAGTGGGTATCGGACTTCAGAGTAAAAAAGGAAACATGAAAGATGCCACAGGTTTCAATGGATAATAGCAAGAAATGATTTCAATAGGCAAATCAGCTGAATTCTTCTCCAATCTCCACTTCAGAAAGACGACATGAGGAGAACTCCTAAATCATGCACACCAAATAATGGGGTTTCCATTACATTAAGAAATGAGCTAAATATGAACATTGCAAAAGAAAAGTCAGGTAAAGGAGGGTGTGAACTAAAATTCCACATCCAATGTAAAAAACCCTCAAAATATGCATAATTATGCAGATGAGGGGGAAAAATTAATTGTAATGCAAACGTAAGCAAAAAAGAAAGAAAATAACAACTTCGGCTCACAATAATACAAAGCAATTTATGATTTCTGACAAACATGTCAGCATGTGATGAGACCTTTTCCATATTAAAAATTGCAAAGGTGGGAAACTGCACAAGTGTTTCGTCTTTTTCTACTGATACAATGCTGATAACGTGTGCACATAACCTGTATATATATATATATTTGTTTGCTATATTCAGCCCTTGATCGAGACTGTTTGAATTGCAAAGCAAAAAACCAATACCAGAAACACAGAATAAAATCAAACCAAGTAGACGTAATGAGTACAAAAATGATTTGCTTTTAAGAAACTGATTTTGCACACCTTGCCACATGTCCTTTGGCACTGACAACCCTGAGAAATCTGAAGTCAGAAAATTGTGCCGACACAAGTCACTCACCTCCTAAATGGAAGAGTACTGATGGATTTCATGATTAGACATGAAATCTGAGTTCCTTTACATATTGATATGGGTGTCTTCATTCTTCTGCTACTTATCTAACACAAAGTGTAGATGGCATTGTGGACAGCATTACCACTGAACACAATCCCCTGTTGCGTTTTCTTTCATTAGAATGAGATGAAAATGTTATGCTAACTTCCTTTACTCAATGCAGTTAGGTTCAAATGATTGCCTACCTTAGACTCTGGTCAAATTAAGGAACTGATGGCAACAGATTGCATCTTTGTTAAAACAGAAAACAACCAAGCAATATAGTTTAATACTACCTAATCAAGGTCTCAGATTACAAATGTGAGGCCATCTGGAAGTATAAACTTGTTGGCCCTGTTTGTACAATATCATATTTTGTGACCAAGATGCACATACTACCGATAGAAAAAGGATGGGTAGAAAACTGTTGAGCTGGAAGACTTGTATACTATTTTGTACAGACAGTTACATTTTAACTTCACACCTGCTGTAGTTTTAGATTTGGTTCCTTCTTGATAGCACCATTTATGTAATAAGATCCTCTACCTTCAGATCCATATGTGGCTGTTTAGATGTGACAAACAGGTTCAAGCGCTCTCCCCAGCCCTGTGAGGTTGGACAGGTTGCAATGCAAGCTCTGCTCGTTACTCTAAAATGCTGCCATCACCCGCATTTTTAACTAACTGTCTGACAAAGCACGCCACCATGAAACCATCTCTGCGTGTGTATGTCTGTGTGTGGCCAACCCAGGCTATGCCAAAAACTCAATCACTTGAAGTGCCATAAGCAAAAAGGAAACTGAAATCCAAAAAGGTTAAACAGGCAAAATGCAAAATTACTCCCCCTACCCTATTTTGAGAAGTTGCTGGGAATAGCAGGAACTCTAATTAGCTGAGGTGTTTGGTAATTTCACTCCCATTCAGTTCTGTAGGGCTCCACCAGACTTCTGGTAGCTTAGTATATTGAACATACAGCTGCTGGGATCCACAGCAACCCCATCAGCCTGGGAGGGTTAAATCAAATGTAATTTGGACATTTCCTGTAAAAAAATTGGGGTCCTAGATAATTAAAGCCATATTTAGCCAAGAATCAGATAATTGCCTAAAACTCGCAAAACCCTCCATGTGGTAATATGATCCTCATAGCAATTGTGGAGTGCCTGGGGTGCTCTGGTCCATGGGGTCACGAAGAGTCGGACACGACTAAAGAACAAGCAATTGTGGAGATACACATTATTCCACATCTCTAGTTCAAAGGGATTTAAATTAAACATACAAACTTATTTTTGTTGTGAAAAATCCTTCACAGTAAAGCAATCAATCTGCAACAAGGTGTATGTCTATGCCTCTGAATACATATTTTGTTTGCCTTTAGAGATACACTGTACTGTCTAGTCCAGATAGGACCATGGATGCTTTTCTGAACAAGTTGTTTCTCTTTCCTAGACTGTTTTACAATTCATTTTTTATAGTTTTCCCAATGCTGATAGCTATGCTGGCTGCTAGACTGAGGAACGGGAGTCATTTCTTTCCTCCATTTCAGACACATCCTGAATGTAATCCATCTTCTGTGACTAGCATCAAAGTTTGTATATTTAAGTTCTAGTATTTTAGGTTCAATGGTTAATCCAGTACTGGCCTCTTGCAAAAAGGAGGGGAAAACCCTTATCTTCATAAATAAGATGTAGCGGTGGGGAAGGTGGAAATTTATCCTGACAAGTGTTGGGTTCTCTTCCTTTCACTCTATAGCTTTGTCATGGAAATGTCTTTTTCTCCTTTCTTAGAATTGTTCCGATCAATTTTTGACAGCTCCCACATGGATTCTGTGACTTTTGGTAGTCTGTGGCTTCTCTTCTGAATTGTCATCTGTCACATATGGTGACCAGCAGCCATGTAACTATCTTTCTAGGAGATTTTTATTTTTTAAAAAAGACTGAAGCTTTTTCAAATTGCTATGGCTGCTTCACTGCTCCCACTGCACATGATAGCTGCCTCCATGCTATCTTTATAACCTTCTCATCATGATTTCCTATGACTCCTGGCATATTTTTATTGCACTAGACATGAAATTCCCGTGTTTTTGTTTCTACCCTTTCTCCGCAACCTCAATTAGAAAACAGTTTACTGCAACCTCAATTAGAAAACAGTTTACTGCAACTGCCTCTACAATGAAGATAGTTGTGCTAGTTTATTCATTGGTATAAGCATGCATAGTTAAAAGATGAACGACACATAAACTTTGAACTCGGAACTGAAAAGGATGAAGTGTGGCCAAAGGAAGGATAGCGTGTGAGCATTTGTCCCCTATCTCAAACTATTAAAACAAACTTTTAAAGTAATGTAACGCATCCTGTCAAACAGTAAGTTCCTGTGAAGAAAAATCTAATCACAGAAACAAACACCAAGTGTAAGAACATTAAAATAAATTCAACAAACTCAAACAATTAAAGCATCCAGACAAACTCAAAAACAACACAAACATTTCATCAAGTATAAAAATTGATCTTCCGTAAATGACTAGGTTACACCTCTGGGAAAGCCTTCCCAAACACAAATGTCCTCAGTAGTAGTAGTGTACTTTTAAATAATTGCACATTTGTCAGGAAAGCTTGAGAATTTCAACAGTTGTGGACTAAAACATGGTGATCCTTTACAGATATTGAGGCATGTACTGTAGATTTGCACTTATATGCACAAACACAGCCAACTGTGCATTTTGTTTTATACTATGACTCATAATAATTGCATACTTCTCATAAAGGCACCATATTTACACTATTTGTATTTCCTAATGTGGAGGCATATGATATTAAATATCAAATTATAAAACCATAGAGAACTAAATAGAAAACCATGAATGCGATTTCTATGAACCTGCACAGTATTATTTGTCGCTAACACAGCCATAGTATTTAAAATGTCAGTGCATGTGTTTGTGATTACTGTGTCAAATTTCTTTTGGAATGGCTTCCCTGCTCCCTTTCTTGGATATGATACTCCCAGCTGTGTTTCTATACTATATCAGTTCATGGCTTTAGTTTATTACATTTTCATTATGTTGATCATAAGCCACCTTGAGTGTTGCAATATAGTGGAAAGGCAGGATAAGTGTTTTAATCATTTCATAAACATTTAAACAACTATACTAAAGATGCAAAGGAGGCAGATGATTTTACACACACACACACACACACACACACACTTCAGACATCCTTCTG